TCTGAACTCCTGGTGTAGAGAATGAGAGCCAAAATTAAACAGCCAATTCCCAGCCACACTCATTAGCTGTGCTAGAAAGTAGTGATGCTCATGAACTTATTTTTGCTGCTTCTGGACATTCTTGGCAGGACAGAATAAGCTTACAGAGGTGGTTATGGGAACCTATTCAATCTTCTCCTTGCTAAAGCCTGACTCTTCTTTTGCTTACAGTGACCTCCTGCTCCCTTTTTCGCTGGGCACACATTTCTAATCCAACACTCAGAAACTAAAACATCTTTTAGTTTATTTCACACTGCAAAGTTCCACCCATTTTTCACCAGACTGGTTATATTTTCCTTTTATTTTTAGGATTTACAGCTTTCCTGCATACGATCTTTGGGAAACACATACCAAACTGCAGCAAATCAATAATTCATTTGATCAACAAAAAATCCAGCAGGCTTCCTCTGACTCCTAACTATACATGGATAGACGCCAAATAAACCTCTTGATCCAGAGCCATTTAGAGCTCTGTTCTCTGGAAGACAAGCAGGCTCAGAAAGAATATGTTTCCAGGCATAGGTGTTTATATTCTTGCACATCTTTTCTCACAAAGTGAGCCCTGCCTATATCCTAGTTAACCCCTGCATGTAAAAGAAAAGGAATAATGGACAAGCATTGAGCTATGTTTTTAATAACAAATAGCAACAGTTATGTCAGACCAGAGGAAAAAACAAGAACAGGAACTGCAGAGCTTTCCTTACAATCAGCTCAATGCCTGCATTGCCCTGTATAAACACAGTGTACGAGCATTCGGACAGACCTCAAGGAGCGCATGCTTCAATAACCAAACACGAGGGGCACAAAGAACTGGCCAAAATATGGCATCAAGCATAGCTGCAGCTGCATTCCCCAACACAGCAGATGAAAATAAACACACTTTTGCTCCATGAAGCCACCTCTGACAAAACACATTTACCAGCTACAAAGAAGTAACAACCAGTGGGCTTAATTGAGGCAAATGCCCTCAGACATTCTACTTATCTTTAAGCATATCAAAAGTCACTATTACTGTCTTAAGCAGCTTCTACTATACCAGATGTAGATATAAATTCTGCAAGGATTTCAGTAGGCCCTCTACCCAACTCAAGAGATGGCAAAACTGCTATTAGATACTGTGAAATGTCGTTAAAAGGAAGACGAGAGCCATCTCAAAAGCTGTGGCAAACACAAATATATGCTGGAGGGAATTCAACACAGACAGTTCATACTCTTATGTTCACCAATGTTAGCAAATTAAAACTGGTCTTATGCACTCAATGCACAGGACTGGAGTATTTAAAAAAAACTCAATATGTTAAGCGCCGTATATCTCCAGAGAAATTAGGTATTGACTGTATGCCTCAGTGAGTAGAAAATCTACAAAAATCCATATGAGGCATTGATCCAGATATTACTTTTTAACACTATGTAACAATTTTTTTATATCTGCACCCAGTGTACATTTATTCTCTTTAATTATCAATCAACAAACTAAAAGGTAATACTGTTTATAACGTATGCTCTTTAAAAATGAATACAATTAATACACTCAAATACGTCACTAAAACTAACAATGCAGTTGTGCCAAATTAAATTTGCATCAAAATAAAAAGGTTTTAAATTTTAAAATTCCACATGCTGGTTGCAGTGAGATGCAGCCACCAAACATAAGAGTGCTGATGGTATGGGCCAGATCCTGTGGCACAGCCCAACTTGGGCCCTGACTTGGTTCAAAGTGAACTCTAGACATAGATAAGGTGATGTAAATGAGGTTGCGTTGAATATCTGCAAACAACTGACAAGTCTGGAAGCCCTCAGGCAGCACTGCAGCACAGAAGAGCAGAAGAGCCCATGTGGGGGCCATATACACTGGGCAGAACACAGGTCAGCCGTGCAAAACTAAAGACAAAACCAGTAAAGGAGAGCCGAAACATTAAGCAGGCCAGCCTTCCCCTGCTGAGGGGGAATTCCTCTTTACTTCCAGCACAACCTCAAAGCTACCAGCACCACCAGTGTACACCGGCATGCACTGAAGTAACTTGTTGGAAGGCAGAGATTCACCATCAGCTGCCACAAGAATGGTAAGGGCCAAGTTGAATGTGTCAGAGGCTTGACTAATTCCACCACACATGCAGTGGCCGCTGGTATGAAACTTTCTGGATCTCAGTGGGCTGCACAACCTCTACATCCAATGAACTGCACAGAGAGCTTGGGGAATAAATAGGCATGCAGCTGTGTAAATCTGTCAATTCAACTAGGGAAACACCAGTGTTGATTTGAATTAGTGGGAAGTCATTGCATCTGATTGGGTTTATGCAAAGAGGTTATCAGCTTTAAGCATTGCCAAGAGGCACTTTTGAAAAAACAAAATGCTAAGTTTGTTGCTAAGTTTCAGCATGTACCTCAAATCACTGTATATCTTCAGGTACGTACTTTATGAATAAAAACAGAGTCAAAATGTTCTCATTTGTCTAGCTCAATACAGCAACTGGTGCTATTCAAGGGGTTTGAGGTCTGAGATATTTATGTGGCTATGTACACTCAACAAGTGCCTTCTGAAAAGGATCTAATTTATACAAAATAGCATTTAAAAATTGGAACTATATTCCAAAAGCATTGAAATAATTATTTCACCCTGAAAAATTGGGTAACACCAGAATGAAGGCTGTTTACACAGGTTTAATTTACCAACAGTGAAACACTCTTTTAAACACTTTTCAGAAGAGCACCCCCACCTCAGCTGGTACATGAGACTGTGTTGAGACTCAATCACAAGTCACAAGTACAGGAGACTGTTGAGAAAAGAAGCCCTTTGTCCCAACTGCTGGAAGTCTTTTAGTATCCTGAAATATCTCTGCAACTTTAAACCTCATAACAAGAGATTAGATGAGCGAAACCAGTCGCTGTGTTCTGCCATCTGGACCTGTTCGATCTCTGACAGAAGTTGCTGTAAATGCGTATTTTCCCTGGATGTTGAGAGACCTGCTACAAACGTGAAACTCTGGTAATTTGACCTTAATGGATTCAGGCTGTTACAAGGTCAGAGCTGAGGCATTCAATGTGAATAGTTTGGATTCTCTGCAACATACCAGATATCACATCATGTTCTGCAGGCTCTTCTAGCAGGAGCATAAGAAGAATCTGCAGATTTTCTGTTTGCACCTATTACCAAGCCAAAAAATTCCAATTGTAAGATGGGGGTAAGCTCCCTCAAACTATCTTTCTATTTTGCTTTATGGACTCCTCTGCTTTTCACTAATACCATCATGGCTTTAGCTACTTGAGGCAGTGATCTAGCCCACAGATTGCAAAAGACAACAACTGAACTCACACTTGCATGTGCACACCCTTTGCCACCCCAGTCTGAAAAATAGCCTTACTCTTTCAAATAGAAGGAATTATCTGTCCTGTAATCACATATCATCAAATACCTGGCCACTAGACAAACTAGCTGCCATAACTGTCCAACTGCAAAATCCCAAATACACCAGTTTCCACCTGTTCTTCAAACAGGATCCACATCAAATACTAGTACACAGCCACATCATTCACACTACAGGAAAAACAGAGAGGCAGATCTCCAGAAAATTCACTGTATGCTTGGGAGTGCTAGAAGAGTCTGAAACAGATGCCCTCCTCACCAGAAAATATTTTCTAACAGGTAAAATTGTGTAATTGTCTTAGCAGCAAATACTTGACAGTCTTATTTCATTTTTCCTAATGACCAGAGTTAAACGATTGCAGGTTTTAACAGTGCCGGCAAATTATCAAGACCCTCTACATTACATGGTCAATGGTCCTTTTAATAGGAAAAGCAATAATATACAGTTGTTTGTGCCAACTAAAACTCGTTAGAAAGTATTAGCTTAAGGTAACAGTTCAGCAGCTATTAACAAGCACAAGTGTCTACAGTTATCGCTTGTGACATTATGACCCTAGCAAAGCTGGCAACAGAAAACCATTCCTTTGGTTTTAGAAGATCTTTGGGGTGAGTGGGGGGAACAGGGGAAAGAAAAGTTAACAAAAATACCGTCTCATAGCAAGAGTCAAAGTTTTTCAACAATCACCATTTTTTTCACCAGCATAACATTAGAATTGACTTTTTGTCTTGCTGACATAGCAACTAAGAAAGCTGTGTTGCATTGACCATATTGATTGTGAACAATGCAGCCATCAGTGGGACTTTGCACCATATATTTTCGATATTGACCTCCCATTCCACGGCTCTATGGGTCTGCTATTGGATTTGGACCGCAGTGTAATAAACAGCTAAGGTTTAATTAATGGTAAATGAATACAAGACATAGGTTATGACTTTAACTAATTAGGGAATTGTTGAATTAAGTCTGCCTTGGAATGCAAGGCAGTACAATCAATATCCAATAAAAGGACTATGTATGTAATTTACCTGCAAATGTGTTTCCAATACCATCAAAGTGAGTTTAAATAAGTAAGATATATGAAAGCCTACTGGAAAAAGATTTCAAAAAGTTAACACTTTGTGGCTTCAGAAAGGGTTTTTCTCCTCGCAGAAGGAATGTCATCTTGAAATACACTCTTCTAACACAGATGGTGACGCTCAGACAGAGCTCTCCCTAAAGGACAGTGCGGACTCGAAATATTTTCCTCGACACTGCACCATCAGCAAAAATTGCCTCTGTCTGTCTACAGAGTATAGGAAACACAAACCAGTACTCCCAACATGAACCAATTAAGTTTAACAGCAAGCTTCCCTTAGGGTATCTTGGTACCCCTTCCGGTACCGTATGTGCAGCAGCCTTTCATTTTTAATCGTGCTGCCCCCCCTTTCCCCACCAGCCCTGGAGAAGCATGCCCAGGTACAAGAAGAGGTCACCACACAAGGGTCTGATCAACCCTGAGCAATCCCCAAGACTACTTCTATTGTATATATCAGCTCACACAGTCCAATTACTCATTCTGTAATCACTCCTCTGAAATAAAAAAAAAAAGAAACCTACCTACTCCCTTGTGGGCATCTACGCTGGTAAACTCTATTGTCCCATTATGGCCCTTCCTAGGATTTTCCTGATACTGTTTGTGGTTCCCATTGGGACAATATCTGTAGGAAAGTCCATAATCTGCAAGATAAACCTGGAAGACATGAACAGACAAATGAATAATGCTTTTGTCCTTTGAAAGTATAACCTTTATAATTAAGTCTTACGAAACTGATAGGTTAAGGACAGCCTTAGATCTAAATTTTATTAAACCAAATGGTGCCTCAGGATAAAATATGTACAACTAGGGGCTATAACAGCTGCCCTCCCCATTTAAATCCTTCCACTACTACACTCTTACCTTATTTCAGAGTTGAGCAGAATTTCAGTCTTTTTATTTTGTTCCTAAGCTCCGTCCTCTCCAGGTGGGCACCCAGACATCATAAACTGCAATATGCCTTTTATGTACCCTCATGTTGCTTATGGGATCCCTTCCTCTCCTTACTTAAACAGGCACATACACACCCTTGTTCAAATTTTCCATCAGCTGAGACTATACTATTTCATAACAGCAGCGCAACTTAAAAGCCACAGAGGAAGAGAAAGGCATAGTCTCCCCAGCTGGACTAGGCACAGGGTTTCAGTGCTAACAGGGACTATGACCACAGGGCTGCTGGGCACTAGCTTAACTGTATTCTCCTCTTTTCGAATGTCGCTATCAGTAACTTTGTACTGGCAACAACTATTTAAACAGAAAGCATAAGATAGAACAGAGCAAGACAAACCAGCCCTCTCCAACCCCATAAGCAATCTTAGAAAATCACTCCTGAATTTCTAATACATTTTAAAAAGGCACAGAACCAGACTTCACTCTAAGCAACTCTGAAGCAAATCCATGGAGCTAAATCAGTGTAAGAGAAAAAAAAAAAAATGTGGGCTCCCACTGTGTATATTGCAGCAAGCTCATATACTCTGCCACAATTATCTTTCCATCTTGGCACAGGTGATTTTTGTTTTACAAGATGCTTCACTATAGGTACCTATATAACCAGATGGAGGACGTCCCACAGTTCTGAATGACGTACCTGGGAGGTGCACTTGCATATTCTTTGGACTTAACTGTGAAAGTATTAACTGACTTTAAACTTAGTCTTACTCACTTTGATGGCATTTGAAGATGAAAACAGAACAGCTCAGGAGAGATGAATTTTACTTTCTGTTCTTCTGCTGCCTGTCAAGACAAACCCGAAGATGTTGTCTGGCTCCTCCTACGCCTCTACTTCTCCACAGGCATAGTACTCGCAGTACTGCCTCCATGTCAATTCTGCCACTCACATAATTTAGACTAAGGGCACAAGTCCACTCTGTGAAGTTCAGATTAACATGTTCTACCCTCCAACAGGGGTGGATTTAATACATGCACGTGGTCAATTACTGCAGTGCAGCTGACAAGCAGTAACTTGTTGAAAGCAGATGGAATTTAATCACAATCTGTCCACCCCACAATATCCCACAGGTTATTTTCTTACTCTGTCATTTTCACACTCCCACCTGGCCTTTGCTCCTTACATTGAACAGTTCTCACATTAGGTAATTGCTTTTTTTTATAAATATCCAAGTATAGTACTTTCGCTTAAAAAAACCCAAAAATGCTATAGACTGTTATTATATTGCCACTGGAACTGATCTCCGGGACAAAAGCTAAACCATCTGAAGACATATAGAGATCATTTCTACTAAATCATATTATATTATAGAGAAAAACTTTCTTATTCGAACCTTAGTTCTGCTTCTGCTTTAGCTAAAACATAGTTTATACTTTAAAACTCTAAAATAAACTCTTCTGGCATGCACTTCTAATTTAATTATGTCACTCCCAGTGGTGGAAAAACAAACAAACAAACAACCCTCAAGAAAGCCTGACACATTATTTTGTAGCACATTCTGTTGAACTACTGATTCCCGTTTGTGCTCCAGGCAGCTTCAAATGCTGGGATGGCTGGTCTCTTGATTTTACTGTTTCTGCTGCAGGATCTGTGCTTATCTGGAGCGTGTAAGCTGGGATACAGCACTCACTTCCTGCAGGGTGATGGCTTTTAAGATTACAGATGATGTTTTTCACCTGACAGACTATACAAACTGTGATACAAGATTAAAGACCGCAGGCACACTTAGAAAATCTGGGACAAGGCATAAACTTTGTTGGGTTGACCAATTTGATTTTCTCCTGCATCCATTCTCCAGTGTATTCTTGATGCTCTGGTACCCGTCCTAATTGAGCCCACAGACAGTGTGAGAGAACTAATTCAAACTACCCTAATATCAAGCTTTGCGAGTCTTCTGCATCCTTTGAGGGATGGGAAGGAGAGAGTAGACTAGAAGGTATAGTCTTCCCAGGCCAAGTGGTATATTTTGCTGGACTATAGATTTCTGACATGTACAGTCGACCAGATACAAGAAGAAATATAGAGCAGAATTCAACCTTCAAAAATTCAGGCTATGCCTTATATTAAAATGAGATTTTAACTGTTAGAAAAAACAATACAAGACAAGCATCTCTGCCAGCTCTTTGATTCTGTCTGGGCTGGGAACCCTAGCTTATGTGATAGACATTCCCATATGGCAGTGGTCTTTCAAACTATCTTAACAACAGGGCATTCAGAAAGTAGACAGAAATATTTGCTAGTCAATCTTGAACTATGTAAAAAAGTTGCCAGTTATCCCACAGATAAATCACAGCAACTATGTGCTCTTAATCCATTTTTAAGCAAAAGCTTAGTAGTAGTATCAGCAGACCAGTATTAAATTCACACTGAAAAACCCCTCTAAAACTGAGAAGTAGCTCTAGATTATCCTGCCTTGACTGATGATGGCAAGGCCTGGAAACCAAGAAGCAACCACTTCTGAAAGGCACTCACATGCAATTGCAACATCTATGATTACACCATAGTTTGCTCCAGAAGTTGGTCATGAGTGTCATTCTTCAGGTTACTTCTAGCTGAGCCATTTGTCACTTCCACAACTTTCACATCAGATTTTTTCCACAACATGCAACTGATGGTAGCTTCTTGGCCACCAACAAAAATCAATCCCCTTCATCTTGTACAAAACCAGTAATACACTGTTACAACCTTGCCACAACCATTATCAGAATGACTACATTATTTTAAATTACCATTAATTTCATTTCATCAATTCTCATTATAACCCTTTCATCATTAAAAAGATATATAGTTCTTTATATTAGTTGTCACTTTTTGATAATGTAACACAGCATGCCCTTCCAGATTTGGTCAGAACATAGAGGGAAGGGGTAGTTAACAAATTTGTAGGTTGTTGGGGTTTTTTTAAGGGTACAGAGAGGGGGAAAAGAAGATGAGTATTAAAGAATATTGAGAAAAAATAAGTCAGTGTCAGTATGTGTTTCAATACCACATGTATTTGTCATCTGCATGCTTTTTTTTAGGAACACCACCACAAATAAGAACAAAAAGAGAATAAAACGAATGCAGAGTAAGATAAACAACACACTTGAAACAAGAAATGGTAACATGGATGATGAAGGTGCAAGAGTGATACAAGCCTGTGTTTAGCTGTCTTACATTGTACACTCCTTCCCCCCTTCAAGTTTCTCTTTTACACATCCCTGTCTGCACTAGACTCAGCAGTGCATAGCACAGTCTGTTATCAATAGATTTTGTTATAGATTAGGAGTCAGATTTCTAAGGTCTTCACACTTAATTTCATGCAAACATTAATGTGCCCATCTTATTCAAGCAAACAGCCACACGGGCACAAATAATTATTTATGTGCACAAGCAACCAGCCATAGATCCAGCAGTCCTCCTGTCCTTTCTGTGCATGACTCCCTCACAATGTTTTATATCTGAAATGCTAAATAGCTGCTAAACATATAAAATCCTTACAGCTTGTATACTTTGTGATATATATCTGTACTGATCTGGGAAGTCATGAGCCTGGCACTTTGGATTCTCATGGTATTCTCTTTACCTTGAAGTATATATTGCAGGAGATTTATTGCTGAAAGTATAACAATACAGTGATTTTCTTTTTACATTTTCTTTCCAATGGTTTCATTACTAGGCTTATGTAATGCATTGTAAATAATTAAGCAGATACCTAATAATAAGAGGCAGATTGGTTGCTAATGGCCATAGAGCTGTCAACTTCAGTTGGCCACTACACTACAAAAAGGCTAAAGGTGGACTGAAGTCCATCCTGGGACAGGAAATCTGAAGTATAGTGTTGGAACAGAAATAGCATCTTTCACAAAACAGAAACCAAGGAAGAAGGAAAGCAGGTTAAACAAAGAAGAGGGAAAGAAACCTTCTGTGACTTGTCATTGGCAAGTCCCGATGCTAGAATCTATTGAACTCCAAGGTATTTGGGCCATTACTATGAAAAAAAGTTAAAACAGTGTAAACAGATCTATCCAAACGTAGCAGTAGGATTGATGAAAGAAAATTAAAGCCATACAGCTGTGAAGCTACATCCCAGATCAGGGGTGTAGCCAGCATCCATGAGTTAAGACTCAACTGTATGGTATTTCTGCATGCTGTATCCTTCCTAAAAACAGGAGGACAGAAAAGATTTTAATTTTTCTCAATTGACCTGCTCTTTAGGAAACCTGTCATACTGAACCAAAGAGCAGGAATCACAGTGATTCATCTCCCAGTGAAAAATGGCTTAAAGTTGGAATTGTTTTCATACATGTATCTTCTATGCTGGTCTACTGAAAGCTGGTCTTAAAAGTAAACATTTTGAAACATTTTTGTGTTCTTTTTTTACCTTTTGTGATAGGGCTATCTATGATACTCAAGTCTGAGAGTTTTATTCTGCAGCTGTCTTGTCTAAGAAAGACTTAAAATCAAAATCAGAACTGAGGTGCAAGTGCAATTAAAATTTACAGCTTAAAAATCCAAATAGGCAACTTCTGCTACGGTCTTGAGTCTGCAACACTGCAGCATTTCTGCTCATATATTCCACGGGGGGTGGGGGGAAGAGAAGACACTAAAAAGTAATTGTTTTGAAGAGGCATTCTTCCAAACTTTACTTCATTTATTAAAAAACTCTGATTTTAAGCTTTTGTGTGATGACCACTTGTCCCTTTTAGTAGTATCACAATTTAAATTCGTTTAATGGATTTTAATTTCTCTTTTAGAGGCTATATCAATAATGCTTTTTCTGCTTTATCATACAAACAGTTACTACTATTCACAGAATTATCTTTAACTTGCTGCAATACTGAGACAGTACTTCACTTGTTCTATAATTTATAGGTCTGATCACTTCAAGTTTTCTTTCAGGCCTCCCCGAGATTCATGGGCTGTGTACTTCCCTCAGCACATCACTCCTATTCTGTCAGTCATTGTGCTGGGTCCATGTTCAGAAACATATTCACTATAGAATTGATCTTTTGACCTGTAACTCAGAATGGCCTCACTCCCTTCTATTGAACAGATTGCAACAAGCTGTTCTTTGAGGTCAACTGATTCTGATCTTCTAACCATTTCTAAACATCATTTGGAGGTCACAGAGTGACAGAACCTTTATTTGTTTCTCTGCCTTGCCACAGAAGGTAGGGGATAGCAGTATGGATGTCACATGTTCTTTCAAAAAAGTGGGCCATGATATTTATTGGCTGTGATGAAAATTTACCAGGCTAATTTACAGAAGAGAGAACGTAGCAGCAGAAAGTCCAACACAGAAAAATGACCTTTTTTGGAACTGCAGGAAGTCAGTCACAAATTCACACATAATAGTACACATGACCAGCCACTAAATCACAAACAAATAGCAAAGTTGTGTATAAAGATACACATGCTTTTTCGAACAGAGATTTCTGTCTCTTCACTAAAACAGAATATTGAAATACATTTTTAATATATTTTTTATTTTTAAGCAATTAGATATGGTTTTCTTTTAAAAACAAATTTCTAGAATTAAAGAACACTTCCAATTTTTTTTTCTCTTAAAATCCTAGACCCTAAAGAGCAAGAACCCACTAGCATAAAATTCTTAATAAAAGCTCACCACAGAAATTGTTAGGTCAGACAGCTTTATTATGCCAACTCCCACCAAGCCACAGGTATCTCAGCTTGTATTCCTGATTCTGAGTTTGCCACTGGCTAAATGCTCTCACTCCCTATTTATGCAATTAGTTTGATCACTTTACCTCCTAGTTCCATTGTTTTAAAAAAACAAGACCAAGGCAACCTAGCTATCCCCCACTTCAACAGAGAGAGAAGGTTGGACAAAACACTTCACAGGCATTTGGTAGCAATAACAGTGTCTGAAGTTTTATCTGAAGTGTCTAAGCTTAGCACAAGATTCCCAAATTAAAATACAGCATCACCAACAGTTTAGAGGATATGGGACAGGATATTCCATATTGTTGTCATATTTAGTCAGTTGTAAAGCTTCCCAAAATACCGTTATGGTAAATACATAATACATTCAGCTTACTGGCATGTTATAAAGACAACTTGATTTGTAGAAAAGGCTGTCACAACATCATGAAGTCTTACATAGGAACTGGACACATTTGGAATAGAAAGAAGCAGATTTCATGTCAGAATTACATGCAAATTAATGGCACATGCAAATAGCCAGGACATGACAAATGCAAAATCATCTGTGCAAATATACATACACAGTTCTGAATACCAGAATCTGTGTGGGGATATTTTCTAGTACTGCTCCTAACCCAGGTAAAGAACACTTATTATACGGGGGCAGACAGAAGATCAGAGTCAACAATTTCAGAGGAAGGATATTATGTATATGTAAATCTGCTATTTTGAAAGTTTTAGCTGTGGTGTTGGTGAACTTATTCCTTCTTTTCATGCTCCCCAAGCCACAGAGCATACGTGTTTCAAGACACTGTGCAAGCTGTGTCCGGAGAATGTTTTTTTTATTTGACCAGAAACAGTCCCATTAAGCCATCTGCCCTGCTGTGTAAGCTAAATATAGTACACGTTACCTTAAAATACATTTAGAAATAACCATCACTGTCTACATGGCACTAGACTGGTATAGTTATCATGGCTTCAGTGAAACCAACAGACCTGTGGCCACTTGCAGAATTTCTGGGGCCCATGACTGGGAAGTTTACCTGTATATCTGAACAGCTCTAAGTTTTCTTAAGTATACAGAAATGAAAGCTTAATTCATACCTTACAAATGCAAGCAAACATTAGAAAGTCTCTCTTGTGAGCTCTTCTGAATTAGAATGAGAACTTTTTTTGTTTTAAACAGAATTATTTCAGTGGAAAATAAATTTTACTGAAACAAAATTCTGCACAAAACCTCAGCAATAACATACACTTTGTATGTGTTGAGCTAAGAGCTACTTAAATTGGAATATCTATTGATTTCTTTTATTTAATAAATATCACAAATTATATTTTCACCTAAAACCTCTGTCTAGTAACTCACAAGTATCTTATTTTTAATCTGTCAATGAACTCACTACTCATGAAAACAAAATACTAGTAGTACAATCTTCATGCAGACACCATGAGAAAAAAATCAGAATAACCCCACAATCTATCTAATTCAAAACCAGCTGATCAAAGTCGACTACATCTTAAAATTTTATGACTACTGAAAATGGACACTTCCAAAATTATTTCAATGTGAAAAACAGCAGCATAACTTGCTGTCATAAAAATACACAATAGCCAAAGCAAAAAAAAAAAAAGTCATTTGAGTTATGTTAATGGGATTGAGTAGCAGATCGTTTTGCCTCTAAATAGCCTTCTTTCCTTTGGATTCAGCAGGCTGGTAAACACCATAAACTGAGATTATGTACTGTCTGCTACCACATCTGAAAACATGGCTGTTTTAAACAGTCATGATAGTTTTCAAACTATGTGGTTTAGAAAGCTGAAAAGCTAAATTTGAATCAACCCTTTAACTTGAAACTTATAAAAAAGCAGATATAGTTCAATGGTTCAGCCTCTGATGGCAGTGAGCTGTTTTGCAAGATCTGTTTCTTCATCACTGCAGTGGAAAAACAAAGACTGAAAGGAGAAGCATTGCTTACAGCTAGTTATGTTTAAGTGAAGTTGGAGATATCCTTTTTTCCTAAAAGATTTTTTTTTCCAAGAAGAGAGCATACTTACATTTTATTAACTGAAGAAAAAAGACATAGTAAGAGCATGTAGAGTATGACAGGATCAAGATTTGTTTCAAAACATTTCACCAAAACACTTCAAATTCAAGGCTAGCTTTAGGCTTTAGAGTGTTAGAGAGTAGCAATCTTAATCCTACTCACCCGCTATATCCACTACAATGAGCAGGACATAAGAGTTAGTAGCATGGAAACACAATTCATGACAATATTTGAAAGCTAGAAATTCCCAAGAATGAAAACACAATGGGCCACATCCTTAAACTCTACTAATATACTTAAACTGGCATAACCTAGAACAGCAGTTAAATCCTCTGACCTACTATCTCGATTAGCTTACCTGTCCATACCACTATCCCAGTCAGCAGAGCACAAAGGGAACAAAGCAGAGTCTTGTCCTGCTTCTTTCTCAAATCTTAAGCTCTACAGAGCCACCCTCACATTTGTTGTGAGAGGATGTGAAAGGTCTTGCATAAACTTCTTTTAATATGTGAATTGTTAGCATAGGATACACACAACTTAAAACCATTAAACAGTTATAAACACATTAGAGTAACAGTGTAGATAAGTAAACATGCTTACCTCATGTGGATTGGTGTAGCCCAAAAGTAGATTTGCTGCTTTAATGTCACCATGAACATACTCATTTTCATGTATATATTCCAAAGTATCCAACTAGGAAAGGATTTAGAACAGAAAAGAAAACATCATCATCTTCTGCCTTCTGCCCCTAACCCTACCACCAAATATTTCTCACTTACATATTATTATTTAGGTTAAAAGGAAATTTTTGAGATGTCCAGTCTAAAACCCCTGCTTTAAGCAGGACTAATGTAAGTTAGATCAGGTAGTGTAAGAGATAGAATAGTCAAGCTTTAAAAGTCCCCAAGAATGGATGTTTCACAACCTCTGAGAAGCATAAGACATTCTTTCTGTGAAAATGTTTCCTTTACATTCAGAGTTCCTCTTCTTGCAACTCACAGCCATTGCCTCTACTCCATTTGCTGTGTACCTCTGTTCAGTAACAGATAGCAGTCTTTCACAACATAAATGATATTACAAAGGAGCACATACAAAATCTTCCGTTAGTGTGTGCCAGTCTACACACATTTGAAACCAAAACTGGTATTTGCAGACTAGCCTAATGCTGGCCTGTACAATCAGTGAGTTCAGAAAAAAAACACACTGAAAATTTTGCATTCAGGCATGCAATTGTGAACTTTGACAAATACAGATGTCTAATACAATACCCTTCAGACACTCGAAAATCAATACATGTTAAAGCATATACACACCTCAGTCTAGACACATTTTGAAGTTTATGGTCTATGTTTTAACCTATTAGAAAAAAAAAATTGGTTTGAGCCCACCAACTTCCAGTCTGCAAGGGGTTTTGATTTTGAACTTAATACTCGTTTTATTTTTAAAAATAATTAAAAATAAGAAAAGGCATAGCATTTACACGTGTTCAAGTCTAAACTCAAGACCTACCTAAAGGAACTATATTAGAAATAAAATTTTCAAGTTGAATTCAGCAAATTCGAGGCATAGCAATTTCCAATCTCTGTGTACATACCATTCGTGCCCCAAGTTGCAGAACAGTCTCCTTCTTAAATCTGCTTCCACAATCTTCAAAGATTCTTTGAAGGTCTTCCCCTAGTCTCTCCATGACCATGAATCTATAGCTACCAGGAAATACATAAAAAGGAGGAATCCTTTAAGACAAATCTGCAAATTTGTGTCAGATTGATAGGACATATCTCCATTTTGTTGAAAATGGATCTTAGTCAATTTGAGGCCTAATTACAATTCATTTATTACCTTTTTCCCTTGTACTCAGTCAAGCCTGATCCCCAGAACACTGGAATTCCTAAACATCTTATTTTTTTGAGATTCATCCATTTTCTTACTGTAATAATAATAAAAAGATAACATTGGATTAAAGGTAATTAGAGAATTTTAGGTTTGGTGTGGGGTTTTGTTTTAGCTATAAAGTGAAGACTTTGAATGAAACAAATGGGACTTATTTGGCAGTTTGTGTAGTAAACAATTCAGACCATAACTTTACTGTGAAGTTCTCTACATTCTTGAAAACATGAAGCAGTTTTTTGCTCTAGCAGTGGGGTGCTTTGTTCCCTTAAAAGAATGATAAGCAATTGCGAACAGCTGAAGAAATAATTCCTTTAGAAGTTCTAGTTTATTCAATACTTATGTCTACCAGCAATCTAAGTTATCCGAAGTCTTTAGGACAGTTCCCATTAATAAATCACATCCATGCTTAAGTGTCTGCAGAATCAAGTGCCTTGACTACTACTAAATCCTGTGATGATTACACACACACTTAGCTCTGTACATGGAAATAATTACTAGCAGAAATATGGTCACCAATTAGTCCACGTAGTACCTCTGTTCTAAGGCTGGCCTCTCTCTGGAGTCCAATCATTGTTGTGCACTCTGAAGCCTGCACATAATAAATTTGGCACACTTCTCTTCTCCATTCTGATCAGAAAGGACAAGAATGACATCCAAGTAAAGAAAACTATAGCAATCTAAAAATCATTATAGCACCAACTAGGATCAGTTCTGTGTATATGAAATGAGTTGATAGCCAACAGTTCTTATCAGAATTAGTTAAACTTGTCCTGAAATCTACCCGAATCAGAACTGACCTATTACTTACTATGTTCTTGTTTTGCAGCCCTCTGGTAAAATTTCAGTTCAGAAAATAAGGGACCATTTTCAAGATATTCCTATTGAGAAATAAACAAACTTAGTATCATAAAATGCACTAGAAAGACAACGGTCTCTGAAGAAAAGTGTATGAGAAATTAAAAGAGTGACACTCCCTTTTTTCCCCACCTCCCATATACCATGCTATCTGAAATGTAATTTTAGTAAGTAGCTAAAAAGTTGTTTGACATCACCTTTTCACAAACAACACAGATTCTTTCAGGAATTAACATAGTATTTTCAGAAATATTGTAAATCAGGTGTGTTTAAGTTCAGAGTCTGATTTTTCCTTACTGAACTGCTGAGGGAAGTAATCAAGGAAAGGAAAGAATTAAGCCAAGGAAATCCTGTGTGTCATGGAAATGCCAAATATATCCCCAAGCAAGAAAAGCATATCAAGATATAAAAAATAGGTAAAAAAACAAAAGCCCCAAGCATGCAATACAGACCCAATGTTGACAATAAGAATAGATAATTAAGAGAGAGAACTGCATACAAGCTAACAATTTAGAAATGAGATCGACAGATTACCACTTTAATTACATGCACTGCATCATCTTCTACAGGAACATGAATTTGAGGGGAAGCTGCAAAATGAGAAAGAGATGAGGATCAAGCTGTGTGCAACAAAATATAATTGCAAACAAAGGCCAAGCTAACATTGCATAAGGTGACCAAAATAATACAGGACAAAGATACCCAATATTTTGTCTGAATTTCTTCTTTTGAAGGTCAGAGTTTTGCCAAGTTGAAAGAAAAAACTAAAACCACACACACACACACAGAAGTTTTAATCAAGTACACAAGCAATTTTAACCCACATTTTCAGAACTCTCTCCCTCAATGCTAACTAAGGAGTAAGCAGGATGTCCCTACTGCACGTTTGTACCACAATGAAGTATACCATTATAACAGACTATGTTTGAGTCATTCCAGTCAATTGGATAACCTCTGTATTTGGTTGCTGCCAACCCACTGTCGTGACAAAGACATCGCTTAAAAGTTATGACCTACATTATGCCTCTAGACAGGATTGTCTGCTTTCCTCTATTACAAATTAATTTGGCCTTAGAACCTTGATTTCTATTCTGACATTATTTAGACACTGGACTAAGTTAGGGATAGCACAGCCGCCACCTGCCTAAAGGGAAGATAAGGGATTGTGCCTCTTAGTGCAAGTAGAAATTTCAAAACAATAATTGACCACATGTTCCAATTACAGCCCAGGAGACAGAACCTCTCTGCACAGACAATGCAATCCTATTTTCTTCTGACCCTGAGAGAACTATCAGTTCTCTCTGATACTACTGAAGCTACACGAAGCTACACTGGGATTAAAATTTAATGAGACTAAATCATCTTTTAGAATCATCACTGAAAAAAACTAAAAAGAATACAGTTCCTAGGAAATAAGTGTTCCTTTCAAACTTCTTATAATGATCAAATACCAACAACAGTCCAGGTGTGAAACACTTCAACTATCTGCACACACAAAAATAGACCACTTTTATCCACATAATAAAAATCAAGTAAACTTTAATCTAATCAAACCATCAAAGCTTAATTTTTTTGATGATCAGGGCATAAAAAATATTTTTACAATGAACAGACTCCTTCAGCTGCTATTTTCCTTCAATTCTATTTACAGTCTGTGTTGAATACCGCAGCATACACACCCCAAACACCCACAGGGTCCCCACTGCCTTCTCCTTGACACCTCCCTACGTGAATGCTTTTATGCGAATTACACATTAAGATAAAAATGAACATATCCTAGAACAGTAGCTCTGGAAGGTGTGAACTATCCATAGACTCAGACCAGTAGCAGCCACATTCAGAACACAATTTAAAACTATCATACAACCAGGAAGGATAGTCTGGTAAACTTTGTTGTTACCATATTCTTGTACTGAACTGGGAATTAAGGTACGGGCACTTACGTCTTTATCTTTCTCTGCCACATGTAAACTATGCATTAACAGCTGAAGACATTCTTTTAAAGGAACACATCCCCTGTATTTTCATTGTATTCAACAACATCACATTACCCAAACAGAATTAGGTGTGCTCCCTTACTGACACATCAGAAAAGAACCTGTGTATAAAAAAGTGTATTTTAATATCAAGTTACTTAACAGAGGTTTGATAGGTATATAGCAGTATCAAATTTTAATGTATCTGAAAGAGGCTGATCTAACTTCCCTGTAGACATCTTGACATTTTATAAAGAAAGGCCTTGTTCACTGTAATCTGGAACAGACAATAACAGCTGTCAGGGTAACGAAGAAGAGCAATTAACAGGAGGAAGCCCAGCAAAAGGGCCTAACCCCCATGGTTCTTACACTAGGCGAGTGTGGATGCTTTCTGGAGTCACACTGAAAGAACATCCTGAAGAAAAATAAAACCAAAACTAACTGGCAATCGTTACAATGTGAAAAGGGAGAAAAGACAGACAAAGCTCAATGAATACAGGAACAGATGCTCCACAAAACGAGTAACATGACATTCACATCTACAAAAGGAGAAATGGTATTATTGTTTTTACTGCACATACATGAAACAAGGCACAACATTCACAATGAATGACACTCCAAACTTCTTACACAGATAATGCTTAGACAATAATTACACACATACAGATAAGCATATATACTGTTTTGTTATCATTCATATATCAGGCAGCAATATTTTAACCGTAGCTCAGAAATAAGAGACTAATTTTTGTCCATAATTATACAAAAAAATTTTTTTAAATCGTCTCATTACTATGTATAGTTACTTAACAGTCTGGAAAGGCTCCCACGGTTTAACAAACAGTCTGATTACATACCTCATAGACCACCACCACATACTCTCCTGCGAGTTTAGCTCATAGTTAATTACTGTATACTTGTAATTAGCCATGTGCTAGCCTTGTTCTGTGTGGTGGCACATGGCTATTTATAATATTACAATCAGTTAAATGCTAGACTGCAGGACAGTAAGCAGAGACCCTGCAGGAGAGCAATGCTGTAGGGAAGAGGTCTCTGATGGTATACAAGTACACACAGAGTACCAGGAGCACTATATGGCAAGATTATGTTTGCAAAGGATATCTTAAAATAGCATAACAAGTGTGAGGGTTCCTAGTTTACAGTTGATGTTGCTTTTATGAACTAGAGATGCACAATCTCCTTACATCGGGGGGAGGGATGTTGATGCATGCACAAAATCAAAACAATTGTCTGCATAATCGTTAACTGGGAACACTGGTGCAAGATGAAGCTGTGTAGGGGGGCTGTGGCTGTTTCCATCTCATGCCCAGACCAGTCTTAGAAAACATTTGCAAAGGCCACAGCTCTGTTTTCCCTTCCTCCCCTTCATCCCACAATTACATCTGCCATGCCAGTGAAAAGTATATGAATTTAAAGTATACTCCAAAATAAAGCAGTGCAGTAAGATTCACATTCTTTGCCACAATTTCCAACTGTTTTGCCTACACAACACAGCAAATAACTTACCTCAAATTAACCCTGTCCAGAATTCCCTAGTTTCATCCAGGCACAGCATTTATTGGTTTATTATCCACTTTAATCATGACTTTCATCTGTTTTGTTGCTAAGTGCCACAAACTTAATTAATGTAGCCTTCTAAATGTTAATATGACACAGTAACAAAAGAGTATTTCAGGATTAACTGCAATTTCCTATAACCACACAGCACAATTGCATGCAGACTGACAAAGAAACGTGCCAATTCTATTTGCCAGTTCAGACATGCTTGTTGTAGTTTTAGCAGTTTATTTGTGAAGTCACATTTGGAATATGGTGAAATATTTTCAATGGCTCTCACAGAACCAGTTTTGTTGACAAAGTTTACACAGTGGAAAAGAAAACAGCATTGATTTAGCAGTTTGAGAAAACATCCCTGCTCCTGTCCACAGCTGGTATCTTTGCCACTGCTGGATATTTTGAGGATATTTCTTTGTTTGGGAAACAAGAATAAAATTATTTTCAGAAGTTCTTAGGTTGCTAGTAATTTATTTTTGCTTTGTTTCATTGGTTAACTAATCCTGAAGAGTGACATTGACAGCTTAAGTTTTTTTCAGAAACAAAAGCTAACCTCAAAAATACCACCCTTTGAAGTTAAATGCTGCCTATAAAAAAAAAAAAAAGCCTGAAAAAGTCTGACCCCATTTAAGTCAAGCCAAGAGCTGTTAAATTCAGTGGCTAACAAACAGGGAGGTGGGCGGGGTAAGGGGGGGAGTGTTGTCCAGAGCATCTAACAATAAAAAACGATCCAAGTTTCAGGAATATAGTTACTAAAAACAAAATGCACACAAATAAATAAAAAATAGCATCTGCTACTTAACACACAACTTCAAGTATTTCCTACATATGGAGGGCACTAAGGCAAATATTTAAAAGGCAAACAAAGCACATTGCTTCCCCCTTCCCACCTTCACAATATCCAGTATTTCCCAAGAACTGAAACATTCCACGCTTCAAGGGTGTTGTCCGGAAGAAGACCAGCTTCTCTGTTCACATTGTTACTTTAAAGATGCATCCTCATTTCCTGGACAGACTCTTTTCTGAGCAGTGTTTATGAATAGTGGTTTTCTTCTACATCCTTCTTCTGGGCAGCTTTATGAATGCAGAGTTTTATTATATAAATTACACACACATAACCCTCTGTACTGTGCTTACGAAACCATCTTCCACAAGACCCAACTAAACTGTTTTTGGTAGAAAATAGTGCTCAACTGCTAAACTGTTTTGCATATAACTGCAAATGCCTCCAAGTTAAGAACATTCAGTTCTAGTAGGAAATGTCACTATATTTCTTACTCATCTTTCCACAAAATTGTAATCTTGATTCACTAGAGTAAAAGTTTTGTATTCCACAGCAATGGAAGCCACCATTTGACTTTCAAAGTTAATTACTCTCAGCTGGAATAGGTATGACACATCCTTTAACCCCCAGCAGAAAAGCTATGCATGGCCTGCTCTTACAGCACTCTCAGATGGGAGTCCAAGCTCCTAATATTTAAAACTTGATGCACAAACTGTTTTCTGGCAAGATTCTGCTCCAGCACATCTGCTAGTCTGACATGGTGCCCGCTCAGAAGATACTATGCCAGTTTCAGTGGGGTACAGGTGCCAAAGACGGCTGAAGGGAGTGTCTTCCATAAGGCAACAGGTGCCCTATCTTTCATCCAAAGTTTTTCCTGTTACCATATAACACTGCTCAGAAATACATCCACCAGTGAAAAAAAAAAAAAAAAAACCACACAAAAAAACCAAGCCTGCTGTCTTGACTTTCTAGTTTTACTTAGCATACCAAGGTCTTGGTCCCTGACCAGAACTCTTGCAAAGTGGACTAATGAAGAGCAAGACAACAGCTCCCAAATCACAGGTACACACATACTGGGGGGGGAGCAGGGAGAGGCGAGAAGGGAACCAAACCACAACACATGATGTGGCAGAACACTAAAGTGTAATAGTAATTATCTCTGCAACTTTGTAACAGGCTTTAGATTATTATGTAAAAATGAGTTATGCTTTCAAAGCTAAGACTTATAGCCTAAGAGGACCAAAAAAGAAGAGGGATGATTCAAGAGGAAGCAGTCACCAGCAAGAACTCAAAGTAGGGAATATTTCCTCTTTAGCAGATGGAGTAGGCCGATCCTGTAGCATGTGGTCAGACCTAAGTAACCATCGAGTAGCAAAATCAGGCTAATCTTACAATTTAATTTCCTCATAGACAGGATGAAAAATTAGGTAATCTGCTTGCTATACCTGTATTTATACAGTTTAATATTAGTGACTAGATAAAAAGACTCTTTCCTGAAGTGGGGTTTATCTGCCAATCAATTTATTTTCACACCAAGTTTCCCACTTGCAGGTGCAAGGAGACGTGCTGAAATGTATTTTAACACATGAAGGTTAAGAAAAATCTATTCCTAACGAGACAATTACTTGCTAGTGCTATTAATTACAGGGTTTTGCTATTAATATTCTTCTTTCCATTGAGTTTATAAAAATCATGCTGAATGTATGTTTTTTGGTATAATTTTTACTGCATTTTTAATCCGTTTTCTGCACTATAGTAAATATTTTCAGTGTAGTTAATTTAGGCAATTTTTGAAGCACTTCATTTCTCTAGTACCAATTGCTAAAGCCAGCTTCCTAACACAAAACAAGGAATGAACAGTATGACAATGACAGAATGTACTTCCATCAATGTTTCTCTTCCCTGACAAATGTACACTTCTGCTCACAGCTATAAAAATTATCTATGGAAACTACTCTGAAATAGAAATCAACTTTATTTCATGCCTCAGCCTGATTCCCAGAACACCAAGCCTCAGAATATCAACGTCAGAGTGTACTATGGTCCAAGCCTAAAAGCAGAAAAGGCCAAAACCACACCCCTTCCCTACCTCCACCATGAGCAGAGCTCCCTGTGCTGCTGGTATTAAAAGACAATATTCACCCATTTAATCACTGTTTACTGCTCAAGCAGATATTCTTTGCCTCTTCTTGGAAAATGGGAGGAAAAAAGAAAAGGATAGTGTGCTGGCTACACTGGTGACAGATCTCCAAGCAGGGCAGAATTATCACCAATTACAGCTTTATCAATATGTACTCTCCTGAGCTTTCCATATTGTAACAACACATGCAAAACCAGCAGTCAAACAGCAACACATAAATACCTGCTGCAAAGCCACCTATGAAAAACAGTTTCAAAACTCTTAGTTTTCACCTATCACTCACAAAGACCCATTACAATACACAGGTATAAAACAATTAAAACACATTTACAAAGTAGTAAGTTTTATTGTAGAAGACATTATCTAACAAACATGTGTACACATATATATATATAATATTTTGCAGAACCATCAGTTTCCATAAGAAATAAGCCTGTGAGAAGATAGTGCTGTGTACAGCAGATTTCACTGTGACACTGGAATCTTAACAAAACATTGTGTGACCCTTCTGCATTTAAATTTTCAGTCCAAATTGTGCATTAATAGAGTGCTTGCAGCAGGATTAGAGAATGATTTATATAAAGACTAGTGTTAATTACTGACTGTGATCAGGAAGATAAATGAGACAATGTAAAACTCTCAATAGCACCCTCCTCAACTCTTGCTTAATCTTCCAATGTACTGCCACAGTTCTCCACAGGGCTACAAACTAGTCGTGAGACCACCAATATGTACTCTATTATGTTTCCCCTTATCAAAGTTCTGTCTGAGGTGCCAAACAGCAAATCAGCACCAGTAACAAAAATAAAATAAAACTTCCAATATACAACAGCATGGTTAATTCCTGTTTATGATCTAATAAAAATCAATATTTGTAAGCCTTCTGCTGCTGTATTTGCTCTGGTCAAGATAAAAATACAAAGGAAATCCAAGGTAAGGAACAAGTTAACAAAGAAATAGACAAGATGGCACAGACAGGAAAGACAGAATTAGAAAACCAAGGAAAACATTTGTGAGGCAGGGCAGAACTTGTGGTAACTGTCACCTACACAATTAGAAGTTTAGAAGTCCTACACCTGAAGAGACTATGTGCATCCTAGGACTTAGGGTCGGTAAATGGCTTTCAGCAGCTTTGATTTAGTGAATAGAACCTTCCATGGAATGCATCCCTCGTAAATATATTTTTCAGAGGGACTGTAAAATTTCTCAAGAACATTGTTACAGATTAATGGAGTATGGAGTACCCTTAATGGGAAATTAAGCTATAACAACGCACATCAAAATCTTTACACCGCTACTGTAAAAATACTTATTAAAAGATATAGCCAGCAAAGTTAACCTTTTATAAAAGGGCTGTGCTGTTCATATCTAGCAGGCAGTTGAACACGTCTCCACTCTCCCATCTTCCCACCTCTCTACAGCTCTGAGTTAGCTTCTCACTGAAAGTTTAGTGGTCCTCTCACATCTTGCTGTATATGCACTAAAAACTAGTCTGAACAGCACAGAGAAAGAAGGTGCCTCTCAGCACCAAGCACCCCTATGTTACTCTCAAGGGTTCATCATCTATTATCATTAAGAGATCAACTGAAAAAAAACCAAGAGTGGGAAACAATCAAAACTCTGTTTTCCATGGCAGAAACATACAAAAAAGGAAAAGCTTAAAAGAAGGTATCGCTGATTTATACATAAAAGGAAGTTAATTTATGTATAGGAGTGACTTGCTTATCAAGTTTCAAACATAAATGCTCCAAATAGAGAGTTAACACAGCTCTAACTTAAAAAGATCATGTTTGGCTCCAGGGATGATGTACTAAACTCTTCTAGACAATTCTTTACTGCTGTCTTAATACAAGCTCAATTTAGTCCCTAACAGTCACTGTGGACTAGTTTGCCTGTCAACACAAGATTTGCTCTTTCCTAGATAGAGACCAGCAATATTAACATACATTATACCCCCTCCAGTGACCCAGAATGCTTTAAAAACTTCCTTTCAGAATCATCCGTTCCTTATAAAACACAGACTGAGTGAAATGCAGCAGCTTCTTCTGAAAAAAACACAGAAACCTAACCAGGCTATAGCAAATAAAGAACAGCATTTCCACCTCTAGTGAAAGGTTTTAATTCATAGGCAACATTCAGCTAACTACTTTTACATTTCTTGGATGAAAAATGATTTAGTCTCTGCCACAAGATAATACTTCCAATAACTGGAAACCCAAAGAGTACTCCAGAGCACAAGACTGGCATAAGTCCAAAGGGGCATCTAACGAAAGCATCACCATTACTTTGAAGAGCATCACCTGAGAGTGCTCTTCGGCAGTCTTTGACAGCAGCAGCACCTTGCCTACCCCACTCAAGCTCCATAGAAAAGTGGACTAAGAGCCAGCAAACTGGGCTGGACAGCCCATGGAGAATATGCTGCACTATCAGCAATGCTTCTGAACAAAGACACCCAACAGGGTTCTGCAAACGTCTGAAAACCACACTCGGACACAAACGACCACCTGCATGTAAACAATAGTAACTTTTAAAGCCCATTCTGTCTTATGTAAAAAAGTTACAAAGAAATTCAAAAGTCCCCTTTCTAATCACCACCAGGATTTTACCTAAATAGATCAAGCCAAATCCTCCCTGGCCGATTTGACTGCCCAGCCTCCAGACTTTTCCTTCGGTGTCTTTCAGAATCATGTCTCTTGGGAGAGGAACTGGCAGCTTGCCTCTGCCGCGATCCTTAGGCGGCATCGCACCTGGGGAGAGGGAACGAAAGAAAAAGCTGACTTTCATCAGAAGATGCAATATTCCTCGATGTCCTTTGCCCCACAGGCACCGAGCAGGGGCCCAGCTCTCCGCGGCCTCCCCGGGCGATCCCCTCAGGGCGGCAGCCGGGCGCCGGGAGGCTCTCCTCCGCCTGAGGGCCAA